CATCATGTGATGTAACAGGTGGAAGAACAGAGTCTACAAAAGCATCACTAGCCAGTGCTTCTCCTGCGTCTTTGTGTGAGGTGTACGGATCCAATGTTCTTTAACGTATTGCTTTCCCCTGGCTCAATCACATGCAAGTAGAGAACCTGGGCTTCCTTTGCACACTGGGGATGTGAAGCAGCATCACCAAGAGCCCAGCACAGCTGCTCTGTTAAGCTTCAACTCGGAGTGGATATTACTCCATTTTTTAATCACTATGTAAATGCTGTTTCATGCTTCCAGACACAAATGAAACAAACTGTGCCAGCTACATATACTTAAAGCCTCTTCCAAGCATTTGATATGTTATTTGACATTGGTGGCGTATGAGTTGTACCTAATTAGCAATTCATATGAACTAAATTGTCTTAAACTGAGTTGGGTGGAATCTACACGCATATAAAAACCGTTCTGAAAATGCTTTTTTAAAATTAAAAAAAGCATTTTTAAAAATACGTTGCATTTTCCATAAGGTTCACCATCGCCATCTAGTGTCACATTGTATATTGCACCTAAAACACACTTAAAATGTTTTATTTGCAGCTGTATAGCTGAGTTATTTGTGAAACTGGGGGGAAGATTTAAAAGCTAAACAAAACATTTAGATCTGAAGATAAAGCTATTGAAGTTAAAGCTACTATGCGTAATGACTATGTGCTCTGCCTCCAAAGATGAAGGCAGCAATGTTTCTGAATACCAGTTGCTGGAAACTGCAGAAAAGGAAAGTACTTTTGCCTGCAGATTTCCCATAGGCATCTGGTTGGCCACTGTAGGAAGAGGATGCTGGACTTAATGCCCATTGGCCTGATCCAGCAGACTCTTCTGATGTTCTTATGTTAAAAATTGTAAACCATCTTATCTCCTGTGATAATATTTAGTTTTGCTCAAAACTGGCTGTTGTTCTTTCAGTGTCAGCCAGGGGTAACCATCTCCAGATGTTGCTGCTACATTTCCCTTCATTCTTGACCATTAACCACATAGGCTGAGCCTGATGAGAGTTGGGAGTCCAGCAGCATTTGGAAAGCACCGTATTGCCTTCCTTGGAGGTAAACAGTTTATAAATAAAGTCATACCCTGGAAGTCAAACAGCTCAATTCCGGAACGTTTTGGCTCCCGAACATCGCAAACCGAGAAGTGACTGTTTGGGTTTGCAAACTATTTTTGGAAGCCAAAGTCTGACGGGGCTTCCACGGCTTCCAGTTGGCTGCAGGAGGTTCCTGCAGCCAATCAGAAGCCATGCTTTGGTTTTCAAACGTTTTGGAAGTCAAATGGACTTCCAGAACGGATTCTGTTCGACTTCCAAGGTACGACTGTAACAGCGAAACTATGAGAGCCCTGATTTGTTATTTGTAAGAATGAAGAGGTCCCGATTTGAAGTGAAATGTGGGTGGGGTGTGAGAATAGAACAGAGAGATGAATGAGGCCATTAGCAACACCACAAATTGCAAATTTCAAAAGATCATAAATCACGCCCTCGAGTAATCCTAAAACTGGATTGAAAAAAAATCAATAGTATTTTAAAAGTTATTGTAACAGTGAGAATACTTTCTATTTGGCTTCTGGCTTCTGAGGGCACCGTCACTGAATGCAGTCAGAATAAAAAAACAGAAGCCACACCACAGTTATGTCTGAAAAGCTTTCATTCGTATTCATCTGCAGGATATCATTTCTGCAGATCTGTCATTTTGAAAGCAAACAGATCAAAACTACTTAACACAACAGTCTCTGGTTTGAATTCTTTGTTGATCGTAGGATTAACGTAAAACTCCAGGGTTGCAATCTTATAAACACTTACTTGGGAGTAAATTTCATTGAACTTAATAGATCTTCTAAGCGGGCATGTGTAGAATTGCACTCTAGGCTTGTTTAAGTTACAGGTTGACGTCATGCATCTTCAAGAATTAGACATTTAAGGACATGTTGTGAAAGTTGTGGGGAATAATTCTGAATTCATGAGATTACTAGCTTGCCATTGCTGTTTAAGTCAGAGCTTCTTTTTTTAAAGCTGGAACTCAGTTGCAGCACCTCTCAGGTGGGAGATATTGCCATTATAGGGGAACAAGGGAGGCCTTTGTGGTGACTTTTGGCACCTCTTCTAGAAAAACAGCACTGTATATGGTTTAGTACTTTTGGTGTTTCCCCCCAATGAGGTTAAAATGCTTAAACTTCACTGGGGGAGGTTGTTAACATGACAGTGATGAAAACAACCACTAGTTAAATACTACCCTTGAGGGCATAGCCAGGACTTCAGAGTGCTAACTTTCTACTGAGATGAGTGGACTATTGGTCAGGGCTCTTCCAGATGACATTTGAAGAGCTACTTTTAAGGAATATGGCATCTTGATTATAAAACTGGCGTAGTTATCCACCGCCTTGAAATTTGCCCATTAGGAAGCTTGACTATGAACCTTTCTGAATTCCCAGCATACTTAGAAGCTGGAAATGGGTAAGACGATACTAGATTGCAAAAGTTGCTTCAATTCACAAGGCCCGAGGATTACAGATACTCCTTTCGGGATGAAGAATCAACAGAGCATGGGCCCCTTGTACCAGGTATGTTGATTGGCCAACCTTTCCAGTGAAGAACACCACCATTTAGGATCATAGTAAAAGCCTTGCTAGGGACGCGGGTGGCGCTGTGGGTTAAACCACAGAGCCTAGGACTTGCCGATCAGAAGGTTGGCGGTTCGAATCCCCGCAATGGGGTGAGCTCCCGTTGCTCGGTCTCTGCTCCTGCCAACCTAGCAGTTTGAAAGCACGTCAAAGTGCAAGTAGATAAATAGGTACCGCTCCGGCGGGAAGGTAAACGGCATCTCCGTGCGCTGCTCTGGTTTGCCAGAAGCGGCTTAGTCATGCTGGCCACATGACCCGGAAGCTGTACGCCGGCTCCCTCAGCCAATAAAGCGAGATGAGCACCGCAACCCCAGAGTCGGTCACAACTGGACCTAATGGTCAGGGGTCCCTTTAAAAGCCTTGCTGCAACAAAGTAATTGTGCACACAGATACATAATTGCACCAACAGGTACATATTTCTCTAGGTGTTTCGGCACACACAAGTACAGGCAGCGTGCAAGGTGATGGGGAAATAATAGAATGTCTTTCTATTTCATCAGATCTGGGTGGCATCCCTAAATGCTTGTCTGCAATCAGTGAAATATTACATTAGAGTGGGTGGGGGGAAACAACTCAGTGTAAATAAACCAGAACTGATGTTACCTGAGGCTCAGTAGAACAGATGGCTGTGAAAATGCCTGTCCTGGGTGGTCAGTCTCTCTAAAGAAGGGATAGTGAACCTGTAGCCCTCCGAATGCTGCTGAACTGCAACTTCCAGACAGCATGACTAATGGCCAGGTATAATGGCAGCAACATCTGGAGAGCCATAGGTTCCCCTTCTGTGAAGTATCAGGTCGATAACTTGGGTGAAACTTCTGGACCACAGATGGGGAGCCTGTAGCCTTCTGGATATTGCTTGATTGCAACTCCCATCATGCCTGACCACTGGCCATCCTGACTGGAGTCCAACAGCACCTGGAACGCCACAGGTTCCTCATCACTCAGAAGAGGCCCAGCTTTCCTTCTAGAATTCTCAGTAGCGGCATGTGACCCAAAAATGTTCCATATCAGCTTTGGCTGATAAACAATGGATGTAAAGGAGAAGTGTGTCAACAACCAACATCCTTTGGTTATCCATATTATTCCAAGGATATCAGTGTCTCGGCTGACCTCCATTCCAAGCAAACAGAATCTGGTTGTGTACATGCACCCCTGGAGTCTTTCACTGCTCCGAGACCGGGGTGGCATCTAACAGAATGTAGTTTGAGCAAGCCACTTCCTTGGTGGAGTACGATGGGGCGCCCTAAATTTCTGGAGAGCTTTTGAAGACTTGCTTCAAAACGCACAGCACCATACCACCCTGGGAGGAAGCTCCATTGAATTCAATAGGACGTCCGTCTGAGTAGACAAGGTTGCAATCCCGAGAGTAAATCGCCTCCGAATTCAACAAGGTGTTTTGTTTTTTAAGAGGGCATATTCTAGGACTGCGCTGGGGAACCTGACGCTTCCTTCCCGGGGGAAATGTGAATGAGAATATGCATTTGCTTTTTTTGCAAAGGCTGGCTGTTTGCAAAATACTTGGGGGGGGGGAAGCTGAGCGCCCTCCCCGCCCTAGCAACCCGGAGCCGCCTTTCGCCAGCAGAGCGAGCTCCGCCGAACAAAACCACGACGAGGGGATTAACTTCCAAATGACCCTCGCCGCGCGGCAGAAAGCGCCGCCGGAGCCCCACCCCTCGGGCGGCCGGAGGTCTGGCTGCTGATGGTCACATGGGCCTCTCTCAGCATGGTGGGAAGGGAAAGTTTATTTGAATTGCAAGCGCTGCCCGCCTGCCCGGGGACCATCAAACTTGTGCAGCTCCGCTTCCCGGCCAGCTCTGCTGCTGCTCCTCCTTGAAGTTTGCTGCGCCCTCCGCCCCGCCAGCCCGGCTCCAAATGCTTCACTGAGTTTGCAAGGTGATTTTTTAAAAAAATAATAATAATATTGTTTTATATCCATTTCAACCTCTGCTTTTGTTCATTCTTATCCATTTATTGCTTTTGCGACATTTGTGATCGCAGATCCCCTCCTTAACCAACGTTAAATGCATTTTCTCCTATTGGCGGCTTCTCTTCTTTTGCAACTACTTTTTATTTCTATTTTTTCCTACACCCCCTTAGTTCCCTTTCCCCATTGTCCGCCCTCTGATTCGAGGCTCCGCACGTCAGTCACGGGCTTGACTCTTGCCCCTCCCCGCCTCCCCGATTGAGCGCTGGCTCCCCGCCTTCTTCCTCTGCTTCGTCCTGCCTCCCCAAGTCCGCCTCTGGTTGGGCCGGCGCCGCGCCCGTCACGCGGGGGAGCCAATCGCAGCCGGCCTGCATGCCCACGAGCGAGCCGGGAACTTGCAAGTAAGTGTGCGACTGTGGGTTAGGGGAGCGGCAGAGCTTTTGGGGGAAGGCGGCTGGGAGGGTCGGGATGCTTTGGGAAACCCCTGGCCGGCACCGAAACGCTGGAGAGCACCCCTGGGTGTCCCTGGAAGTGGGTGAGGGAGGGGAGGTCTGTTGCTTAGAGGAGGGGCAGTATCAGACACCAGGAAGAGTTAAATGTTGCACCCCAGAGTTGTTGTTTTCCAGTACTTAAAAAAAACCACGACTCCAGATTTAAAGTTCCCCATGAGATGCAAAATGATCCTCGTCTTCACATACCCTGTGAAAAGTCTGGTGTTCAGTTTGCTGGAGAATCTGCCATCTTTTGCATCTGCTTCTCAGCTAAAAAGGGATTTTGGTTTTTGGAGGGAGGTTTCTTATAAATGGGTTTTTGGAGAAAGCCCCTTGGATTTATTCCAGCTTCTTGGAGTCTGGTGGTACTGATCTGCAAACCCAAAGACTCTGTTTCGCTCTGTTGTGTTGGAATTTCCGGAGCTGTGCTGCAGGGGTACCTTAGGAGTACTGCAGGTGGAAGTAACTGCAGGCTGAACTTAATGTGGGAAGCTGGAGCAAGTATAGGTAGCATCTTTGCTGGCTAGACAGCTAGCTAAGCCTGGTGGGGGTTTTATTTTGCAGAAGTGTTTCCGGAAAGCTGTAGATTCACCCTCAAGGTGTGAGTTCAAGAAGGGAGCTTTCCAGTAATTTTTGTATGCCCAACCTGTCATGTATCAGCTGTCTGCTCTGGAGACCGGTTCATTCCTGGGTCCTTCTAGCTAGATAGGCCTAATTCTCTGTTACTATTATCTTACTAATATAGACAATCATTCAATTATGCGAGCCACCCCCTGTGGCTTCAAGTGGTACGGCTCAGATGCAGGTAAACCTGTGTCTGGGCTGTACCACCTCAAGATGCAGGTGGAGGCTGGCATAATTGAATGCCCATCCATAAAAGCAAAGTCTAGCTAAGCCTTCTTGCAACTAGTTTTCTATAGGCATGGAAGGTTTTTGAAGGAAGGAGCATTCCACCATGTGATTTTCCCTCCTGTTGTCTGTACATCCTAGATCCAGTTTGCCCACCCCTATAAGAACAGACCAGTAGATGTGCCTTACTCTGTTATCCCTGCAGAGACTTTTGGCTAATAGTGAGGCTTATTTGTCATCTTCTTAAGTGTCTACATTAGCTAATGTCTTGCTTTTATGTTCTGCTGACATGGCTGAGTGAGCCCTGACCGGGAAATGAAACATTTGCATGCTTTTGTTTTGTGCTGAATTGCTTACTTGGAAGTACTTCTCAATTACCTGAATGGCACTCGCTTTCCAAATTTGTGTGTAAAATCACAACCTAAAGCTCAGAAAGTCTTTTGTGTGATGCAAATGTTTACTCCCAAATAAAGTGAGATGGTGTTGTTTCAACAAGGCCTGCATCATATGCAGGCTTGCTTCAAGTAAGTACCATTGGACCTGCTGAGATTTACTTCTGAGTAAAGCAACACAGAATGTGGCTTTAGACTTCAAAGTCCATAAAATTAATCTAGGCTGCAAAAAATTATACTAGCCTGCTATGAGTCTCCCTGCTGACCTATCAAGAGAGGAAGCCCCATCTTCCATCACCTACATGGAAATGCAGGCTTCTAGCTTTTTGGCTGGCTAGTAAAAAAAGATCTACCAAATAGACTGGCAGGGGAGTGATGGAGCAATCCACCCCTCCTTTGGCAGCTGTCTGTATTTCTGTGATAGTTGTAGAGAAAAAGGCACCCCTCTCTTTGTGACTTGCACAGAAAGGAAGTGGACTGTGAATAAATCCTTTCCTCTTCCACCAGCCCCCTTGTTTGCCTGCATGGAATTCCTGGTCACCTGTGGCTGTCACACAAGTTGCTAAAATACAAGTATGTGATGTGGCTAACTCCATGCAGTGGTGCAGACTTTTTTGGTAGAGCAAAACCCCAACACGTCAGGTGTGCAGAAGGGAAAACATTAATTGTGTTATTCATAAACCCCATGTTTCTCTAAATAGCCCCGTCTCCCAGATAAGTCCAGGATCTAAATTTGTGTGGCTGTTCCACTGACCCCGTGTCAGTTCAAAAACCCAGGGACCCGCTGATGGCCTGGAGGTGTCTGTCCATGTGAGACAAATTAAAACATGAGAAAATCCCTGCTAGATCAGGCCAGAGGTTCATCTAGTCTTGCATCCTGTTTTCACAGTGGCTGACCAAATGTCTATGGGAAATTTACAAGCACTCCCCGCACTTCTGAGTCCTAGCAATTCAGAAGCATACTGCGCCCATCTCTGGAAGTAGAGCATCGCCAACGAGGCTAGTAGCTATTGATGGCCTTCTCCATAAATGTTTGCAATCCTCTCTACGTGTTTGGTTTGGAAACAAGCCTCACATACATAAATGATGTTTCCAAGTAAGTGGGTATAGAACTGTAGCCTACAATCATTTCCCAAAACACCTGTATTTCTCCTTGTGGAGGAGAACATATAAACAACAATACATATAAACAAACAGTTCAGCAACAGAGGTATGTACATCCTTCTAAAAGGGGCCTGTTGTAACTGGGAAAACGGCACGTTTGTGTTCCTAAGCTAAATTGATAGTTTACGTGATCGGGACCACTTCCCAAATAGCTCTCTGAAGGTCAGAAAACCAATTAAAGGGGAAAGAATAACCTCTGCTGTGCCTGCGAGGTTTTAACTGGTGTGGGTTCTCTTTTGGCAGCAGAGGCAGAAAGAAAATAATGGCTGGTAATGACGACCTCTTAAAGAATCTGCAGAACAACTTGCAAGAGCTGAACAACCTCCGCTCTAGGTATTACATATCCGCAAAACGTACCTTGTCTGCAGGGGCCAAGGCACTGCTTCGTGACCAGCAACAACTGCCAAGGGAGAATATGAACATCCAGCCGTTTGCTCCTAGAAAGAGCATCCGCCACCGTAACCCCTACTGGCCTGATGAAGAAATCCGGACCTTCATTGAGATCTGGGGCGACGACCAAGTCCAAGCCTCACTGGCCACCAATTTTCGCAATGAGGCTCAGTATGAGTGGATCTCTGATCGGATGCGGGAATACGGCTATGACAGGGATATGAAGCAGTGCCGTTTGCGTGCCAAAGAGCTTCGGCGAGGATACAAGGCCATTGTTTGTGGAAACAACTCCTCTGTGAGTGGCCAACGTGCCCTGCCGTTCTATGATTCCTTGAATAGTTTCCTGTGCATGCACAAAGGCCTGGTGGTGTCCAAAGTCTCCCTCTCCATAGATCGGAGGAATCGAGAGGCACAAAAGCTGGGGCTGGAGCAGGAGAAAAATGAAAAACTAAGCGTCGTCCTCGTTTCCGACGACGACGAAGCCTCCATCCCAGAGCCTGCGGATGACTCAAATGGCTATTTTCAAGACCCGCGGATGGATTCCGACCCTGTGAATGCCCAGTCTCCAGGTGATGAATGGGAGCAGCACGGAGAAGACGACATCCTGGCAGGTGATGAGGCTTTGCCCCATTTCCCCAGTGCTAGAGGAGAGAGCCATTCGGCTGTCAATTCAGGTGAATTTTGAGAATTCAACTCCTTTTTCAAAAATCATTGCTTTTGAGCAATGTCACCTAGGTGGGTTAAGATAAGATGGTGGTTTGGGCTGAGCTTGATTTCTTTTTTTTAAAAAAACACACCTCTGAGATGTGCTAGGAGGACTCCACTTACATACTAGAAGCCTGTCCCTGTAATCTAGGGATTGGGAACCTGTGGTCCTCCAGATGGCAAATTCTACAATGCCAATAAGACCCAGCCACCATAGCCCAATAGTTATGGATAATGGGAATTGTAGTCCAACTGGTTCCCCATCCCTGCTGTAATCCCAAATGTATGAGGTTTGGCTTATAGCTACTTAGTGAGAGGGGTTGGTCCACACAAATGTCAGAGGTTGTCTCCTTAGCATTGTTGGGCATGCTCCAGAGCTAAGCCCTAGTGAACACTGGCTGAAATTAAGCTTTCAGTTAGGCGTGGAGAACCTAGAGCATCCAGATGTTCCTGGGACTATAGCTCCCATCAGCCACAACCAGCATGGTCACTGATGATGGGTTTTGTAGGCCCAACAGCAGCTGCAAGGCCACAGGTTCCCCTCTGCTTTTAAGTGCAGGCTGCCGCTGCTGTTTTAACTTCTTTTGGCATCTGGTGTGCTGCTGGCCACCCGCAGAATGCCACCGTTTTGTTAACTCCTGCTGTCTTCCATTGCAGGCCCATCCAGCTCCTTCCCCAGGGGGCCCCTGGCCGACACTGACAGAGTGAGCAACCACTGGAGCAGGAAACAGAGGAAGCAACCTGACACTGCCTCGGACCTCGTGGACGCCATATCGCAAGTGGGCGACAGGCTAGTGTGTGCCCTATCCGATTTGCACTCGAGGCACAGGGAGACGTCTGAGCTTACGCAGGCCAGGGAGAGCAATGCCCGCAAGGAGGAGCTGACCATCCTCGCAAGCCACGTGGGCCAGGCCACCAAAAACATGGACAAACTCATCACTCTTATGGAGACGTCGACCAGGCGGATCGCAGATGCCATGGACAGGCAAACAGCTGCCTTGGAGAACCTGGCACGGTTGTTTGCCTCCAGGGCGCCATCTCTTCCAGTGCCCTCCACATCCCAAGGGCAGCCTCCGCATTTCTCCCCAAGCACCTCTGTACTGCTTCCATCATCATCATCACCGCCACCGCTGGTGCTGCACAGTGCTCCAAACGCTTTGGGGGCCCACCACGCCAGTGCTCCCAAAGCTCCAGAATCACCAGCTCCCAGCGAAGCTGAGGAATGCCAGCCAGAGAAAAAGAAAATAAAAACAGAAGGCAACTAGTGGAATCTCATCATTTGACAATCCCTCAAACATGCTTCTTTGCTCTCATTGGGTAGACACTCATGCTTAAAAAAAAAACTCCTTTGAGGGGGAAAGTCAGGATGGCGGAAGCTGTAACAAATCTCTCTTTTTTTTAATGTAGCCAGAATTTCAGTTTGAAGGTATGTTTGCGTAGAAGAGGGAAGGGTGAGTTTTGCCTAGGATGACAAAACTGTAGAGTTCACTGGCATTCCACTGTTCTGTCCCTTGCTTCATATTCTGTTGCTTCGTTATGCAATTCGGACTGCAGTCCTGTGCACAGTTGCTAGGAAGTAAAGCCCCACTGAACTGTGTAAGGGTGGTTCAGATCTAGGCTTAGGCCACAGAGAAGGTTGGTTCAAAATCTCTGCTCAGCCCTGAAGTTGGTTGGTGGCCTTTGTCAGCTGCTGTTTTTCCTCTCTCCAAATGGGTAATACAAATCTGCACTGCTTGGTGGTTTTGAAGATGAGCAATTTAAAGACTGTGAATCATTGTGCACAGTGAAACCGATATAAATGAGTAGAGAACATTCTTTGTTGATATATAACATGTTGTTGTTAAAATCGGTGAAATGCCCAGTGAGCAATGGGCTCTTTTCCTCCCTTGACTCAATGAAACCACGTCTTTATTGGCAAACAAAAATAGTCTTCAAATACTAAAATAGAACATTTTTAATGTGGTTGCGGCAGCTGCTCTTGCAAGATCAAAGCCCAAGCTTGGTGGTTCTTTCCTTCGCAGGTTATAAGAATGGGGAACCTCTGGCCCTCCAGATGAATGTTGAACTACAACTCCCTTCAGCCCTAGCAAGTATGACCAGTGGCCAGGGATGATGGGAGTTGTAGTTGAACAACATCTGGAGGGCCAAAGCTCCCCACAGCTGGGCTACAGCTGGAGGAGGGATAGACCTGAGTGCGCAGAGGAGTGGTCTCCATTTTGTAGCTCATGCAGGACAAAATGGGTTAGTAAGAGAAGCAAAGCAAGCCTTTGGCTTTCAAAGAACTCCTTGCACTTGAGAGTTCTATGAAACTCAGCTCCTCCCAACCACTAACCTTGTAGAGGAGATCAAGGACTAAACATCAGGAAGAACTTTTATGACAGTAAGAGTTGTTTGACATTGGAATAGTCTCCCTCAGGACATTGTGGAGGTTTTTGAGCAGAGGTTGGATGGCCCTTCTGTCATGGATGCTTGAGATTTCTGCATTGCAGGGGGTTGTACTAGATGGCCTTTGGCAGATCTCTTCCAACTCTATGATTCTGTGGCTAAGTCAGGGGTGGAGAACCTCCAGGGTTAATCCTGCAGTGGTGGCACACAGCCTGCTCCCTGTCAAAATTGGCCCTTGAGGACAATCATGGAGTCAAAAAGGTTCCTCACCCCTGAACTCAGGATTTGTTTCTTTAATGTTAGCCTGCCTGTTGTTTCTGGGCAGCACACAATCTGGGGGTATGAGTGTGACAGCCAAATCTTGCTTAACCCCAACATCTGGCACTCAGAGAGCCAATGTGGTGTAGTGGTTAAGAGCAGTAGTCTTGTAATCTGGGGAACCGGGTTCGCTTCCCTGCTCTTCCACATGCAGCTGCTGGGTGACCTTGGGCTAGTCACACTTCTCTGAAGTCTCTCAGCCTCACTCACCTCACAGAGTGTTTGTTGTGGGGGAGGAAGGAGAATGTTGGCGGCTTTGAGACTCCTTAGGGTAGTGTTAAAGCGGGATATCAAATCCAAACTCCTCCTCCTCTTCTTCAAAGCTTATGTTGTCCCTGACCATTGCTTGTGGAGAAATCAGACTCCATGAATTTGTCTTCAAAGCCTTCAAGCTGGGGGCCAGTACTATTTCTTGTGGTGGCAAGTTCCATAAGTTAATGTTGTGCAGAGTAAAAAGTACTGCTCATAAGCCCCGAGATGTACCGACAATCAACTTCGATTATGATGCCAGTGTCTAGATATTGGAAGAGTGAAACACTCTCGTCTCCCTTCCTAGTTGCCCTTTCCTCTCTCATTCTTCAGGTGGGTAGCTATGACTGCACAGAAAAAAAATTATTAGCCTCACGAACCAATGCAGTTGGCCTGACAGAGGCGCACTGTGCAGGCTGGAATTTCTCCCATTACAATTTCCTTTATGGGAAATGTAAATTGTATTAGTGCTCAGCTGCGACTGCAAATACCTGCCTGCAGTCGCTGTGTGGACGTGAGTGGGGAAAGGGATTGACAAGAGTCCCAGTCCCCATGATGGCAAACAGTTCCAACTGACCTAGGTGAGGCTGAGTGTCCTCATTCCTATACAGTGGTACCTGAGGTTACATACACTTCAGGTTACAGACTCCGCTAACCCAGAAATAGTGCTTCAGGTTAAGAACTTTGCTTCAGGATGATTACAGAAATTGGGCCCCGGCGGCGCGGCAGCAGCCGGAGGCCCCATTAGCTAAAGTGGTGCTTCAGGTTAAGAACAGTTTCAGGTTAAGTAAGGACCTCCGGAACGAATTAAGTACTTAACCTGAGGTACCACTGTATTTGAAAGCGCTGTGCACCACCACCCCAGGTGAAGGACACATTGATTCCTAAACAAAGTATGTGGTCGTTTCAGACAAGCAACCCATTTTTAAAAAATGTGTATTAGGGAACTAGAGGCCTGCATCCAAAGATTGGGCTGGTTATTTCAGCCTTGCAACTAAGGCCCCAATTACTACTAGCCTGTTAAGGGGCCAGCAGCTTCTGTTTCCACGACGGCTACAGAGAAGGAGCCCTACCTCCTCTTGGCATGCTGAGAGAGAGGGAAGAATGCCTTCCACGAAGCAGATTGTGCCAGCCTGCTACATTTTCAGGAAAGCCATGAAGGAAGGAACAAAGCAGACAGCATCAAAATGCCACATATCCTGTAGTGTGGGGCTCACGGAAGTCGCGAGTAAAAGGTGTGTGAGAGAGTATTGCCAATACATTCTAAGCGCATATGCTATTGAAGAGGCACTGCCACTTTTAACTGAAAAGTGCAGACTGCTCTTGTTTCTCAAATGCCTAGTTGTAACTGGGATCTCTACTGTAGAAGATCAGGGTTATGCTTCACCTAAGTAATACTAATTTTGTTTGTTGTTGTTTTTTAAAAAGCTCTTGACATTTTTTACATGGCTACCCTACCAATAAAGTTGGATACTAAAAACTCAAAGTGGTGACCATTTATTAACATTTGGTATGTATGTCCAGCATATGGCCTGGCGTGCTCTGGTCCATGGGGTCACGAAGAGTCGGACACGACTCAACAACAACAACAACATGTATGTCCAGCAGTTCAGGTGAGGAGCGGGGGGGGGGGAGAGAGACGTAATATCATATCATTTGAAGTTCTTTTAAACTCAACTATCATTAAAAAGGTAAAGGTACCCCTGCCCGTACGGGCCAGTCTTGACAGACTCTAGGGTTGTGCGCCCATCTCACTTAAGAGGCCTGGGGCCAGCGCTGTCCGGAGACACTTCCGGGTCACGTGGCCAGCGTGACAAAGCTGCATCTGGCAAGCCAGCGCAGCACACGGAAACGCCGTTTACCTTCCCACCAGTAAGCGGTTCCTATTTATCTACTTGCACCCGGGAGCGCTTTCGAACTGCTAGGTTGGCAGGCGCTGGGACCGAGCAACGGGAGCGCACCCCGCCGCGGGGATTCGAACCGCCGACCTTTCGATCGGCAAGCCCTAGGCGCTGAGGCTTTTACCCACAGCGCCACCCGCGTCCAACTATCATTACATTTTAATAAATAGGCTTAGGTTCATTTTGTGAAATGAGTCGCTCAGGCATTTTAATGCAGGAAATAAATAATAATCATCATTTTAAAACAATTCCATCTTAGTCAGTGTAGCTATCTTTTTTGCATTTTGCCTACGGAAGAAACTGAAGATAGTCTCGGGATTAAGCCTCACAAAACTACAGTTCCTCAGATGTAGTAACAGTATTTGGGCTAGTTTGTGCTTGGAGCATAGAGGTGATTTTAGATACCTATGATTCCAGTGACTGCAGTACAATTACTTGCATATAATAATCTACATTAAAGGGACACACATTGACACATTCTTAATAAGAGTTTAAATGCCGTTTCATAACTGTTCATTGGGAAACTGAATCAATTTAATTTCCCATTAAGCAGGGGTATAATGAGGATGCAACGGGTTGAATGCCTAAGCATCTAATCTACGCTCATAGTAATGCAGCCTTTAAACATAATTCAACAGAGGAAATGTTCATCCCCACACACAGGCCCAATTTCGCTTTGTAGTCAGTTGCTTGTTTTGCCTTTTCCCCCTCCCCAAATAGTCTAACCTTATGCCAGGTTCCAGTGTTATTTACTTATTCTGTTTGTAAATCACCATGCTGCAAGGCACACCCATGGTGGTTTATAATATTAAAACACTAAAACAAATTAAATGGTACGAAACAAAGAGTGGGAAGCTTTTTCACCCTAGCACCACATTCCCTTATGAGGAAACCTTATGAGGGCCATATGCCAGGGGTGGCTGGGGCCAGAGATGAAAGTGGCCGGACCAATGAACCAAAAATTTAGCACTTCTGCAGTAGGGTAGCTTCTGTACACATTCGCACACACCGCTCTCTCCTCCATCCAGACAAACGAGACATTATCAGAGGTCAAGGACATATTCTAGCTGGGTAATACTCTCAAGGAGAGTGTGGAGAAAGGCCAGTGAGGAGTGGGGCCTTGGAATAAATCCAAGGGTTGTGTGATCTGGGGAGAATTCTGAGTCAGAAATGGCTGAAGGGAGACAGAAATGGAGTAAGAGCTCTTGGGTTGAAAGCCTCTTTAGGAGACAATGAAACATGCTGCCTGCTCTGGGCTTCTCCACTTCTGCCTTCCCTCAGGACATGCAGGTCTTTCCAGGGATGGTTGGATGGAAGGGGAAAGTGTCCTAACTTCTGTCACTAAACTGCTGCGTGATGGGAAGAGCCAACGTTTTTCGTTCATCTCTCAAGCCACAGGCATCATAACACATGCTAACTCACCTCCCATCTCTCCCAACACACCCTTGATGGCCAAAACCGCTATGTGCATCATGTATTTGTGCAGGGTACCCATGTTTCTGTGCTCATCAGAAATGCACAAGCTGTTGCTGCAGCACCATAGACACAGGTTGGTGCAATTGGTAGGAGCTTATTCAGGGCCGCGGGTGGCGCTGTGGGTTAAAGCCTCAGCGCCTAGGACTTGCCGATCGAAAGGTCGGCGGTTCGAATCCCCGCGGCGGGGTGCGCTTCCGTTGCTCGGTCCCAGCGCCTGCCAACCTAGCAGTTCGAAAGCACCCCCGGGTGCAAGTAGATAAATAGGGACCGCTTACTAGCGGGAAGGTAAACGGCGTTCCGTGTGCTGCGCTGGCTCGCCAGATGCAGCTTTGTCACGCTGGCCACGTGACCCAGAAGTGTCTGCGGACAGCGCTGGCTCCCGGCCTATAGAGTGAGATGGGCGCACAACCCTAGAGTCTGTCAAGACTGGCCCGTATGGGCAGGGGTACCTTTACCTTTTACCTTATTCAGGGCATTTGCCCTCTT